GACTAGAGTGTTCACATATTTTTTTTGAATAGAATAGAATAGAATAGAATAGAATAGAATAGAATAGAATAGAATAGAACAGAACAGTTGAAAGGGATCTTGGAGGTCTTCTAGTCCAACCCACTGCTCAGGCATGAAACCCTATACCATTTCAGACAAACGGTTGTCCAATCTCTTCTTAAAAACTTCCTGTGTTGGAGACTCCACAACTTCTGGAGGCAAGTTTTTCCACTGGTTAATTGTTCTAACTGTCAGGAAATTTCTTCTTAGTTCTAGGTTGCTTCTCTCCTTGATTAGTTTTCATCCATTGCTTCCTGTCCTGCCCTCAGGTGCTTTGGAGAATAGTTTGACTCCCTCTTCTTTGTGGCAACCCCTGAAATATCAGAACACTGCTATCATGTCATCCCTAGTCCTTCTTTTCATTAAACTAGACATACCCAATTCCAGCAACCATTCTTTATATGTTTTTATCGTTCTTTATATGATAAACTGTTCTTTATATGATCTTCCTCTGATGCAGGGTAGAACATCTAACAATTGTCTCAGGCTACTGATCCATGTTCATTTTGCCAATGGTTATACCCAAGTCATGTTAAGATATGGTATTTCCAAGCCATTAATGTCCCATCTGGTATGTGTGTCCTATTTTTTTCTCTTCTCCCTGTTAAAGGGCATCTTGTTCCTCTCATCCCAATCTTCAAACCTGTCCAAATTATGCTGTAATCTCATATAATTAGTCTTGTGAATTGATCAGACTCCTACCTATTGTGTAATTTGTGAATATATTGAATAGCACCTAGAATCTATTTATATTATAAGTGTTTTGAATATCAATTTTCATAATCACTTAAAATGTGGTGACCACTTCAAACTTAAAATGTGTACTCTATTTTGGAAAAAATCTGCTATGCTAGAATCCTGGAATCTAATTTTCTTACTTCCAAAGGAAGGACAAGATTTGACTTCAACCAAGAAGTATAGACTAATTTCACCATTGAATAATGATTACAAAATATTTACAGCAATATTCTGATTAAAGAAGATTTTACAGGACTTTATTCAGGATTATCAATGTGGATCATTACCTAAAAGACAATTAAAAAACAAAGAACTGTATTGATTGTAATAGAGTATTTCAACAACACAACTAAAAACAGGTAACATTTATTTTTTTTGATGCACAGAAGACTTTTGACAATTTGAACTGGTCTTTTATATTTAAAGTTTTGGAAAATATGGATTTGGGGGGAAATTTATTCAAGAAATCATATATATACAATCCCAAAAGCACATATTATTGTTAATGGTGACTTAACCAAATCATGTGAAATCCAGAAGGGGACAAGACAAAGATGATCTCTGCCAGCTTTGCTTTTTATTTTAGTTCTAGAAATTTTGAATAGAAACATTAGACAGTATGAGAAAATAACAGGTTTGAAAATTTAAAACTAGACTTACTAATTGAAGGCTTTTATTGACAATTTAGTTTTTTTTTTAAAAAAGAACCTCAGACTGGTATTGAACTTTTCATGAAGACACTAAAGAATTTTGGTGTATTAGTCAGATTTAAACTAAATAAACAAAAAAACGAAGATCTTGGTAAAATGTACGAGTATACAAGCCCAAGAGAGCCGGATGAAAAAACAGGGTTTTAAATTGAGATAGCAAATATTTAGGGTTACAGTGACCAATATGAATTATATCTTGCTTTACAATAACTATTTCGAGGTATGGAAGGATATTAAAAAGGATTTATTGAGGTGGGGGAAAGTACAAATATCATTGTTAGGTAGAATTAGTGATTAAAACGAATGTGTTATTTTTCTTAAAAACAATATCAATCTTGACTATTGATGCACCATTCAAACAATGGAAAAAGATATTTCTAAGTCTGTATGGCAAGACAGAAACTCAAGAATTAAATATATATTGCTGCAAGATGCCAAAAGGACAGGTGGATTTGGTCTACCAGATTTAAAATCATAGTTTGGTGCTTGTTGTTTGGTATAATGAAAGATTGGATGTCTCTGAAGAATAGGAGCTTATTAAAGTTAGAAGGACATGATCTGAGGTTTGAGTAGCACTGCTATTTATATTATGGCAAAATCAAGGTTAACATAGATTTTCAAAAATGTTTTGTTAGGAGTGCCATAATGAGGATCTAGAATAGATATAAGCAAGATATCCTAAAATTCCTTTAAGGTAAACCCCTCCAAAAGTTTTTTTTTTAAAAGAAATGATAACTACACAAATTTGGTTGACCTATGCATATTTATTGACTTTCTCTGAAGGAGAGCCTAAATTAAAAACTAGTGAAGAACTGAAAAGGGAAGGTCACATTTGTCAATATTATGCTTATGCCCAGTTGACAGAAAGATTTAATAAAATGGACAAAAAGAAATTTGCTTTTATCAATGAAAAAAATGATTTTGAATTGGATTTATGTGCTAGTGAAGAACATATTATTGCTAAGATGTATGAACTATTATTGGAAATGAATTTTTAAAAAGTGTATGATTAAATGGGCAAAAAACTTGGGATACAACATAATACTTGATCAATGGGAAAATACTGTATATGGAGTAAAAGATTGAAAGTTACACTGAATTATAATATGAAGGATAACTTTTCCAAGATGATGTATCATTGGTATTTAATAATAGACAGGTCGTCTAAGATATGTAAGGGTGCCAAACATATGTTGGGAATGTAAGCAATCTAAAGATATATTTTCTCATCTTTGGTGGGCAGGAAAGGAATCTAAGAAATAGTGGGATAAAATAAAATAAAATATTTTAAAATAAAATAAAATAAAAAATAGTGTTTGTATTACAAAACATTTATGGTATACGTGTGTAAATGAACAGAAAAAAACTATATAAATTGCTATGTGTTAATTTTATAAACAAAGAGAAAGACATGTAAAACAGAGAATATAAAAGAAATCTCTGATAGAAGCAGTATTTATTAAGTTTTTAAAAGAAAAAATTGACAATTCTCTCATCCTATCTCATTCTACCCTCTCATCTCTCCAACCTTCATTCATTTAAATTCCTTAACACATGAAAATAAGTGCCTCTTTGCCATATGACTGGTGATTTCTTCAGCAAGCACAGGCTCCTTTCCCCCTGTGTTTTATAAATGTAATGCATGAGCTAATATAAGGAGCCATTTACCGTAAGTCTGTTTATCAAAAGGTAAATGATGTCATAAAATAAGTTTCTACAATTTTCAAACAGAACTTGAGTGCCCTCTAGTGGTTCAAGAACTAATCATGCAGCTGAAATATATCTAGTCAGAGTTCAATATATTTTATTATAGAGCAATGTAATGAAAATGGTGAAGATACTAAGTATATAGAGAATGCAAACACACTGTACTTATTTGTTCATGTCCCTTTCATATTTATCTTGGGTTATTCTTCCTTTTTGATACACCATGATCTGTCATGCCCACTATTATTCCATAAAGATAGTCCTAAGATCCCAGAGCAGGCTTTTGTGGGGTATTGAGCTTTTCAATTTCATTAACAAAGCAAACACCCTTTCTGGAATTCCATTACTAGAATATCTTTGGATGAGAGAATATGAGCTTTTGGTGAAAACATACTCATGGTGCTACCACCATTCCTTCAACATTTCTTTTATAAACATGGATTTTTCAACACTTCAATAAACCAAATGTCAAAAGATGATGAAAGATTCTGATTCTATGCCCCTCTTGGCCTGTTCAGACATCTCATTCCAGAAATTGGTGGAAAATGCCATAATGCACTGGGCAATTTGCCAGTCTCTTTGCAGACAAGTATCTTCATAGCTAGACTCCAGTGGGACAGAGACATGTGAGATGACAAACACAATGTCTTGTGATTACCTTGGATTCTTCCTCATAAGTTCATCTGGCACTGTTTTGAAGCTTATACATAAATGGATGTAGACAGGTTTCTTTCTAGATTGAACTCAGTCATCAGTAGATTAAATCTATGCCCCTCCTGGCCTGTTCAGATAGCCAGAAAGGGAATGACAGTTGTGTGTAGGAGGTGGTGAATATGTCTGTGAGGAAGGGAAAGAGGGAGGGAAAGTTGCTTCTGCCTTGAATGACATGGTGGTGATCCCCCTTCTCAAGAAACTATCATTCAATTCAGCCATTTTAGATAAATATCAACCAACTGGCAACCTTCCCTTTCTAGGAAAGGCTAGAGAAGTGATTGGGCAGCAATTACTGAGTATTCTGGATGATACAGATTATCTGGATCTCTTCCAGTTGGGATTCAGGCTTGGGAATATTTGAGTTACACTGATCTCCAATAGGATTCTGGACCCAATTCATGGGGCAGGTTGTTACTTAAAGTTCTTATTAGCATTAGAACCACCAACTGTAGGTGGCATCAATTCACATAATATGAGATGGCCAAGAAGCGATGTAATGAGAACCCACCCACTGAGACTGAAGAATGAATTTCTTGGTAGCAGCTCCCTCACTTTGAAATATTACCCAATATATGAAATCCATCCTTATTAATCAGAAAGGTTGTAAAAATTTCCTTCTGCAAGGTTTTTAGATGGAAAACTCTTAAGGTTGATAGCAGTTGTGGGATTTTAGTGAGTCTTAACTCGCTAAAGTACTACAGAGTCCAACCACATGCTATCATAAACTTACAATTATAAGAACAGCATTATTTTCTTTCCATTCAAGAAAAGTATAATGTGGGATAGCTTTCTAAAGAAATGGCAGTGCATCTCAGAAGACCTACCTCCTAAAAGAACCAAGAGCTGACATAAATTCTGCTGTTATAGTGCTCTCTTCCACTAGACCCTCATGACCTCAAGCTTTTCTAGAAAAAATGCACGTGAGATGCATTATTGGCTTTGCACAAAACCAAAAAGGCTGAACCAACATTTTAATACTCTAAAAGGTTTCCATTGCCATTTTCTAGAAAGTTGCTCAGATTACAGTAACATATTTTGAATGCTAGTTTATTTAAACAAAATTGTACTTACTTAGACACATTTACACCAACAAAGCCAGACCACACTCCTTCACGTATATGTGGTTTAGATGATGGACGCTTAAGAAGTAAAAAAACAATATAAAAGAAAGTAAGACTCCAATTATTATTTGTCAACATTTGTATTCTACATTTGTGGCCAAAGAAGGGGACTTTTATAATGGCTAATAATTATAACCAAATCAAGGGTTTATTTTATTTATTTATTTGTCAAGCATATATAACAGGTAGGAGTATAAACGTAATTTGAATACATGAAAAAAGTAAGTAAAAAGGAATATTAGGGCAGGGACGGTAGGCATGCTAGTGCATTATGCACGCCCTTTACATACCTCTTAGGAATGGGGTGAAGTCAACAGTAGACAGTTTAAGGTTAAAGTTTTGGGGGTTTGGGGAAGAAACTACAGAGTCAGGTAGTGCATTCCAGGCATTGACCACTCTGTTACTTAAATCATATTTTCTGCAATCGAGTTTGGAACGGTTTACCTTGAGTTTGTATCTATTATTTGCTTGTATATTGTTGTGGTTGAAGCTGAAGTAGTCATTGACAGGAAGAACATTGTGGCAGATAATTTTATGTACTATGCTTAGGTCAGACTGAAATCGGCGTAGTTCTAAGCGGTCTAAGCCCAAAATTTGAAGTCTGGTGGCATAAGGTATTTTATTGCGGTTTGAGGAATGGAGGACTCTTCTCGTAAAATATCTCTGGACTCTCTCAATTGTATTTATGTCTGATATGCAGTGGGTGTTCCAGACAGATGAGCTGTATTCAAGAATTGGTCTAGCAATATTTTGTATGCTCTAGTTAGTAGTACAACATTACCAGAGAAGAAGCTACGCAAGATTAGGTTAACAACTCTTAATGTCTTTTTGGCAATGTTGTTACAGTGGGCTCGGGCACTTAAGATCATTAGAAATGAGTACTCCAAGGTCCTTGACAGAGTGAGGATCATCTACAAAGTCATGTCCATCTAATTTGTATTTTATGTTTTGATTTTTTTTGCCAATGTGCAAGACAGAGCATTTGCTGGTTCATATTTGACATTTTTGGTTGATATTTTTGGTTGATATTTTTACAGTCTAAATCAGGGGTCCCCAACCCCTGTGCCGCAACACATTACCAAGCTGTAGCCTATTTGTAACAAGCAGCGGGTTGGCACGCACACAAGCGGCAAGCTAAGTTGCATGTGCTTGTGCTGGCCTGCCGCTCGCACAGCTTGCTTCCTCTCTCCCCACCAGCCAGGGTGCCAAGCCTTAAAAGTTGGGGACCACAGGTCTAAATGCTACAATTTAACCAATGGAGTGTTATTGTATGTATTGGAAATCTGTCAAGTATGATTTCATTCACTTTCATGTTTTTCTAACTTTATATTAACCTATTATTAGGTTAGGTAATAGGTACCTAGGAAGGTAAGGTTTTTACAAACTTAAAAACCTTACCTTCTTCCATGCACATTTTTCCAAACGTATGCATTTTAATTCCCACTTTTTCTATTACATCTTTTTGCACTTTCTGTAAAAATAGTTCTGCAACTATTAAAGGATAAGTTGAATTGGAGTAAGAAGGTAGAGAATGTAACTCTGATAGTGTCCTGAGATTTATCAATGGCTTTTGACATAACTGGCTGTGGAATTTTTCTTCATTACCTAGTCTGACATAGAGGGTTAGCTGAGAAAAGTCCAATGATTCCAATTCTAATTTAATGTAATGTCCTGCAAGGACATTACTAGAAATATGGACCATTGTTCTAGTCTTTGGCAACTGGAGTACACCAGGTTTATATCATTTCATTTCTGCTTATTAATAACAATTTTAATAGTTAATAAGTCATTTGAATGTTTGGACTAAGGTTCTGTTACTATAAGAACAACACACTGTAAAAGAATATCTTCCATTTCTACAAATTTGTCTCAGGGAACTGAAGTATTGTGGATGGGGAAAACCTGCTATCCGAATAAATTTGTGAGAATATGCTGGATGGTACTACAGTACCCTGAAGAAAGAATGGAAAGAATTCTTCTGGTCTCAGTGCCATCTTGGATGTATAGATACATTGATAATTATGTCCCATTTGCAGACTTTTAGTTGGCTACTTTGAAATCAGGATGCTCATATAGACAGTTCTATGGTCTGATTCCTCAATGCTCTTATTTTTTAAGATGTGATCTCCAATAATGCTTACTGTTTAAAGTGATACAGTTTGAAGCGGCTGTCAAGCAGTCTAACAATATTTGTAGATTAGTGGTTTTGTAATTTTCTTCAATGATAATAAGGCAAGAAAAATGGACAATCTTTTCAAAAAAACACAAAAAATGGAAAACACTCTTGAATATTAAATCCTGGGGGGAAACTCAGCATTTCCTATAGATACTGAGATAATTGATTTTTAGGTAGACTATAAGTGTGGAAAATAGACAATATTTGAAATTGGAGGTTGTTGCCTGCTGGAAGGAGGAGGCATGACCCAGCGTAACTCCCTAACAGGAGCAAAAACAATCATTCTCCAAAAATAAACAGGGAGAAGGGACAAGCCAAGTGCTGCAGTTTCAACATACCAGATTTCTTCAGCAAAGGGGGCGCAGAAGGGCAGAAGGACAAACAGAGCTTAGAAAGCAGGAAATAGCTTCCTTATATGGGCTTATCCGCAAGCGACAGAGCTCAGTCGACTGGAATGACTGTGTCACAAAATGTGAAGCCTTCAGGGGCTGCAGTGAATGGAGTTTTCTGATCTTTAAATTATTTCTCCAGATTCTTAAAATGCCAAAGCCAGGAGACTATAGTGCCAAAAAAGGAGCATTTTGAATTGGGATGCTTTAGGGAAACACACCACATATGGATGTAAAAGACTACATACACAGAAAGACCCCATACATATTTTTGTCACAGAATATACTGAATTCCCAAACATTGATTAGATGCATTCCCAAAAATTGATCAGATGCATTAAACCATATATGTATACGCTGTCATTTATTACACTTTTTTAAAAAAATGTATCTCTAATAATTTTTTCCTAACCTGTAAGTAGTTGATACTGTATCTGTATATACCATTATGAAACTTTCCTCAAAGCAAAACTCCCAATTTGCTCCTATACTTTATAGGCAAGGTATTTAAATGAGACATGTTGCTAAGCATAGACTGTTAATGTTTTCTTTCAATAAAAATAGCAGTTATGTATCCTTTAGGAATATTTAATGTCTATATTAGTTAAAAACAACTAATATCCTAACTAATCAAATGAGGCCACTGTTTCCATCTTGAGTCTGTAACATATTTAATAGCTCTCTTTGGGTGTTATAAAGAAATATTAGGCATGCTGAGGGAAAGAGTCATGTTTTAAGGAAAGAGTCATTAACCATGAGTGGCTTGAGGATTGATGAAGATCTTAACCTTCTTGGTCCATTCCTCCACTGAGTTGTGTGTTTGGAAACGTGTTAGTCTGCCATTTTCTAGACTCCTCCCTCACTTTATCATTATGTGTGCCAGACATACTGACTGAACTAACTCTATGCTTGATTTTAACAAAAATGCTAAATCACATAAAATACAGTTTTTAAGTATAGAATAGCTTGGAGGGTTTGTTGTTAACAGAGCTGATGAATTATTAGAATAGAAAGATGGATTTAATAAGTATCCCACAACCATAAATAAAAATATGGATATGGTGTGGATAGACAAAAAATAAAGACAAAGAAGGGTACTAGATTCAAACTTTGTGGGAGATAAGAGTTGCAGTCCTGGGCAGGCTTTTCTTAAGAATAAACATCCCACTAAATTTAGCAAGATAACTTTCACTTAAATATAAATTTCAGCTGCAGATTAAAACATTAACAAAAAGAAAGTAGTTAATTAATATTTTTAACTTGCAAAAAGTAGGAGAGCTTGAAATAAATGGTATCATGGCTGTTGAAGGCAGAAGACTTTAAATGTTGGCATAAACTTTGCAAGAGCGGTTACAAGAGTTAAAGGGTGAGTAAAAATAAGATTGGACAAAAATAGATTAGTCAAGAATAAAAATGGGAGGATAAAAGTAAAGAATACCTAATGGACTAGATCTTTGCAAAGTTCAGAAACAAAAAGGAGGCATACAGTACAGTGGTAACTGGAAGGAAAGGTAGGATCAAAAGGAATTTCCATTGCAAAAGGTATTCAATCATTTTCAATGTCCCATCTGATGGGACCATGAATTGGGCCTTCTCTGTCATAGTACCTGCCCCCTGAAATATCTCCCCCACAGATTATTATTAAAATGAGCACTCAAAACCTGGCTTTCTCCTTGGATTGTAAGTGAGTAGAGGATTCCTTAATGGACAACTGATCTGTGAAAATTTGTATGATGACAATGGATATTTTAGAATTATGTTATCAGAATATTTGTGTTTTGTATTGTTTATGAAATTCTATTGTTTAAAATTTATATTGCATGCCACATTGGAATTGGATGACCTATTATTTAATTAATTAACAATACTGGATGTAAGAGAAGTACAGTATAGTCCTTCACTGAAACTAAACAGGTCTCAGGTGTTACATCCGAATAAAGGTTGTTTCATATTGCATCATGACAATATATTTATTCCAATGGAAGTAATCCTTGTTTATGAAACCATATGGATCTTGCAACCTAATTACCAAGTATGTTCATCCTATAGAAATATTTATAAATTGCTACTATGTCTAAATTACCTATTTATCCATAGAAGTGTTTTTGCTTAATATAAGCATAGAACCTCTTAAAACTAACTCCTACTTGAAACATTTGAAAAAGGTTTAAATTTTCAATATCTCTTTTACCTGGTTTGTCTCTTGTCTTGCTTAACTCTAACTGCAAAATATGTTTTATTATCCTTATATCCATGATCATATTGTTAATATCGAAATATCCAAACTCTTTTAGGGAGACATAATCCATGGCACAGTACTGTACAGTGTATCTCAATAGTTTTCAATGTTGCAGGGCCAGCCAATGTGAGGAAAAACAGCATTCAAATAATAGCCATTTCCCTCATCTTTTGGTGGGGTCTGGTTAGAAAGAATTCAAAAAATGAAATACATGGTAGAATTAGAATTTTTATGTAACCTTTCCCATGCGCTTGTGCTCAACACTCAGCAATGATCAGTGCACTAACAGTGAAGACCAAAATGAAAAGTACTGGGAAATATAGATGCTTAAAAGAGTTATTTTGAGGAGAACGATGAAAAATGTAATTGAGGATAAGGAGATAACCCCAGCAGGCCAAAAATAACTAGGCAGCTATTCAGGGTTCTACAGGCTAAATAAAAGACCTTGGGGAGCTTCAGGCTGAATGAGGCTACAGCTCATTTTAAGAAAGCTGACCTAATTAGGGAACATGAGTTCAGCTACATTTTTCAGATTCCTATTGGAGAATCTGGCAACATTCCAAGGGAACAGTTGGAAGTCCAACACTTCTTGTACAGGCAGCTGGATGGCTTCAAAAGAAGAAACACTGATCCATTCCACAAAGACTTCCATGGGATGGGCAATACTAATACTGGTTCTGCTTTGATGGAAAATATATTTATATATTTAAAGTACATGTTTTGAAAAGAGTATTCAAATAGAAAATCTCTATAGATTCTCCATATTTCTGTGACGTTATTCAAAGCACATTGTCTTTCCACATTTCCAAATTGAGTTTTATATCCCAGAAGTACATGATAATATGTTTTGTTTAATCTAACCATATGCCCTGAATTAAGTAAAAATCCACAACTAGGTGGAACAATAACGAAACTGTAGCACTACTGAAAGTGGACAGTTCCTATCAATGTTGCTTACAAGAATAATGTCTCTGTTTTGCATGATATAATAAATATAAAACATATTTATTTCTATGTTTGCTGACTCTTTCTGCTTTAAGTTTTTATGGTTTTAAATTTGCTTGTTATATATAATTAATATATAATTAATATTACAACATTTTGTCACTTTTGTCACAATTAAGAAAAAACATTTGAATGCTTCCTTCTCAGTCACATAGGAAAAGGAAGAAGAGTAGAGGAATAAAATCTAAAATTCATTGCTCATTTCAGCCCATTATTATGATAAGAATTTAATATTACATGTGAAAATGAAAAATGTCAGGTCATAGCAGACTTCTTACAGCAAGAAGAAACTAGCTAAAAAAAATTTGGCAAACATTATCTAATTTCAGTATAAAGAGACCATTTGTTCATATCCCAAGGTCTAGAAAAACTGTCTGGCAACAAGTATATGATTCTCTCTAATGCCATAGTTGGGCTTTTCAATTTTATATCCTCAGAACTTCTCGGTTACACATGCTGATACTGTATAAAATTGTATGAGAATATCATTTGAACTAATGTGCCATCAATATAATGAGAATAGTACTCCTGAAATTTGTCTATTATCAATAATATGTAGAATGAGGAAAAATAAACTGAATTAAATTAGGTAAGATAGATGTGCTGCTGGTAAATAAGAAATGAACTCAGGTTCAGCATCTTTTAGACAGGGTTGCACTCCCAATAAAAGAGCAGGACCTTGAACTTCAGCTGTCATTGGATGTGCAGATGGCAGCAATGGCAAATGAGCTTTTTTTGAACAATTATACTTAGTACAACTAATACAATACTTCCTGAGCTGGCAAGATTTGATAGCCAGAGCCTTGATAGTACAGTGGTTTAATGCACCCTGTTATTAACACAGCTGCCTGCAATTTCTGCTGGTTCGAATCTCTCCAAGGCTCAAGGTTGACTCAGCCTTCCATCCTTTCTAAGGTAGGTGAAATGAGGACCCAGTTTGTGGGGGCAATAAGCTGACTTTGTATAAAATATACAAAAGAATGAAGGCTATTGCTTAATGCATTGTAAGCCACCCTGAGTCTCCGGAGAAGGGCGGCATATAAATCAAATTTTAAAAAAAATAATAAAGATTTGACAGCAATTATTTATCCCTAGATTATACCCTATCCTAACTATTACATGCTCCGTTCATATGAAATATGCTTAAAAAGTGATCCCAAGTTGCAGATTATAGCATTTAGGCTGCTAACTATTAAAAGAAAAGATATTGCAAGGTGCCCAGACTGAAATATCTATGCTTTTGTTCAATTGCTCATCAAGCATAATCTAAGATGTTGTATTAACTCTTAAAGCCCTACACATCTTAGGGAATGACAATATGAGAATCCATGAGATGTTACAAATCCATGTTACAAATTTATCCATTCAGATTTGCTGAAAAGGTCCTTCTATAAATGCCCATGCTGTCAGAGAATTGCCTATTCCTTACATATGTTGATATATTTTTGCATATAAATGAACACTGAATAATTTGTCCTTTATCTGAGGTAATCATAAGAAAATATTCCAGTCTGCTATTATAATTTGCAGTAACTTTGAGGACATTATGACATGCAGCAACCAATCTGAAATATGGTAAACTGAGTAATACTATTTGATAAAAATTATACCAATGACCAACTTACTAAGTACTTCAAAACATTGTGTTGTAAATCATTACTTGGTAAATGGTCACCTAGAATTTAACAAACCAGCTTTTCTAGCTCTGTCACTGATCTTCTGTGAATGGATGGATGGATGGATGAAAATATAACATGTAGTGAAAAGCTGCATTTGACAGCATGTTCCAGAAGGACCAGATTTCTACAACCAGCAGGTCTCACAATTAGAAAATCTCACTATCTATGGGTACTATATGGGCTGCAAAAATACAGACAACTGCCAGACGTCTGCAAACTGCCCAGATTCACTGAGGTGAGATAGACTGTATAGAAATTTGATAAATAAATACACAACAGTTACTGTATGATATTCTCCTGTTTCTTCTGTTTTGCAGTGGTCAGCTGGAATTCTGCAGCCCAGGAAGGGTAGTGTTACATTGTTACTTGAGTAACATGTTCCATTTATCAGGAAAGTCAAAACCAAGCCGTCCAGACAATGTTGCTCTATTTAGTTATACCCACCTGTGCAGCCGGAGAGTTCGTCTGGCTAAGATGGTTTTCTTCTGGGAAGAAATCTTGATGAGCACGTCTACCCATCTTTACTACCTACATGAAAAATATTACTGTAGTTATTCAAAAGATCTGCCTCATAACTGCACATAATAATGGAACGCAGGAATAATCAATCTGTGGTTAACAGATTATTTTAGCCTAGAGCCATTCGTGCATGACTTGTGAAAAAACGATTTTACATCAGAAAAATGAATCCAACAATAAGCATGTGCTGCGAACAAAATAGAGTATCTTTTTTTTCTCGAAAAATTGAATAAAGTGGCAAAAAAAGAGGAAAAAATAAGCCATTGCAGGATGGGAAGGAGGAAAAAACAGGCAACAGTTTCATGGGAGGAAAAGAAAGTGGACGAACTTAGATTCAACTAGAGAGCTATGTTTAACTTGTTTTACAAACTCCTTATGTTACATTTGAAAGATTCAATTCTTTTGAACAAAGTTTTCTGTCCCCAAAATACTGAAGGGTAAGTTGCACTGGATACAGTATAGTTTACTTCAGAAAAAGAAAACATGTGTGTAAATTCCCTAGCCCCTTAAATTTATTGTGAGAGTAATCAGGGATGAAGTTTTGGTTTGTTTCATTGTCCTTTCTCTTTCACAACATTGTATAGGGACCATTCATAACCATCAGGTTTTCCTACATTTCTTTTGATATGCCTTAATGCGTCACCAGAAAGAGTTCCTTAAGGAAGGAAAGATGGACAAGCTTCACAGCAATGCTTTTCGGGAGCTATCACTCAGGAAACATCTTTGAGGATAGCTGATGCATGACGGGGTGAAAAGTCAAAAAGCTTCACCAAGAAGAGTTAAGGGATGAATGTCTATGGAGATTCCCAGTCATCCAGGTCATGGTTGTCCCAAAGGTGCTTTTTTCAAGAGGCAACTGGATTTTATGGGTTTTCCTTTGAAAACGTTTCGTTTCTCGTCCAAGAAGCTTCTTCTCCCCACCCTCCAGCCAGAGCTGAAGAAGCTTCTTGGATGAGAAGCGAAACGTCTTCAAAGGAAAACCCAGAAAGTCCAGTTGCCTCTTGAAAAAAAGCACCTCGGTTAACCTCGGTCGTTGTAAAATATATCAGATATATAAAATCATATTAGGAAGCGCTTCCCCGCATGCGGGATGTCAACTTGTAGCAATGATGGAAGTGCGTTTCTGCTGACCCTCCGAGAAAAACGTTCGCCCGGGAGGCTCTGCAGCAAAGTTTGCCGTTTAAAGCCTTTTTTAAACCACCGGAGCGCCAAATCTGAGTTTTTCAACGGAGCTGCGGCACAAACTTGGCTACGCGCCTATCCAGAGAGACCTACTCGGGGGCTGGGGGTGGGTTTGTGGAAGGCGGGGGGCAAGACCTCAGCCGCGAAGTCCGGCCAAATGCCTGAAAGGCGGCGATTCTTCGCCCGCCAGAGGAAATCACGCAAAAGGCGGGCTGCAAAATAGGCCAGGGGAGGGGGAGGGAAATGTCCGTCCGTCACCATGGCAACCATGTCCTCTCGCTCGCCTTACCCCCTTGCAGACCTCCTCATCCAGCTCCAACTCGTCCTCCATCCCTCAGGCCCAAAGTACCCGGAGTGCGAGATTGGGGGCGATGAGCCGTTTACTTCCGGAAAAAAAAACACCCGCCCTTTTAAGCGTCCATAGCAACCACGACTTCCGCTTAAAGCAGTGTTTCTCAACCTTGGTAGCTTGAAGATGGGTGGACTTCAACTCCCAGAATCCCCCAGCCAGCGTTGCTGGCTGGGGGATTCTGGGAGTTGAAGTCCACCCATTTCAAGCTACCAAGGTTGAGAAACACTGGCTTAAAGGGTCCGCGGTCTTCTGGCTGGAGGATTCGAGTAGAAATCCTCGTGTAGTACTTCGTATAGTACTTTGCTATCGCCCTGAGTATTTAAGTACGTAGGTGGTAGCAAGGCACGTGTTTAAGCATTGCTCGATCTTAAGAAGAACTACTGCAGATACGTCTCTAAGTCAGGGATCGGTGGAAGCTCATTGAGGACAAACTGTGAACGTTAAGAAAACTAAGTTAAAACTAAGGTCTAAATTAAAACTAAAAGTTAAGAAAAGCAGAGACGTCGAAAGTTTAATGCCTATGAGGTTTGTGCGTTTGTGTTTCAGATGGAGAAAATCTTTCACCCTGAACCAAATGCTTGATTTTCAAGAAATCGAACCCCCAGAGAATTTCTCATATTAGAAATTTCCATCCAAAATAATATACTTCCATAATTTTACCTGTTGGAAATTTATTGCACTTATATGCTAGCAAAGCAGTCACATGAATACTCTTTATTATACATTTTTGTTCATTGTTGAGCAATTTGCATAAATGTCTTTTACTATAGCATGCAGATAGTGAAGGTTGATCAATGCATGTTCTTGTAGCTCTTACTATTACACTGGAAAATGTAATGTTAATTGGATTCATTGGGCACCAATGACTCAATCTTTATGAGAAAGGATGACTTCCTTATTTTCTAAATATTTAAATTGCTGCTTCCTATGTGCATTGTCTTCTTCCTCTTTATACATTTGGAGAACTGTTGTCATTGCTTTATTGTACTTTGTTTGCTATATTTTATATTTTGAATATTATTCTGTAATAGAAAAGTAAAGTACATATTTAACATTAAATCAATTAAAATACTACCTATGGATGTAAGGAATGACATATTTCCAACAGGCATATTTTTATTCTAAGAGCCACTAAAATAAAAGTGGAAATAGGTTGTCACAGGAAGAGAAATGGTTTAAAAAATAGAAAAGTCGCATTAGGTACACTTCAGCTTTAAGATTCAGATATTGTTTAGCAGCTGGAAATAATTGGGAAGGGAGGATTATATACACAGTAATGCCAAAATATTCAATCCATTCTCCTTTTCCGTTTTAGGAACAAGCTTCCTTGAAAACCATTCCAACAGGAGCTTCTCCTAAAAGTGAGGAGAGCACTGTCCACCAGAGGGCATTATTCGCTTCCTTGGTTACACTTTATTCCTATTCTGCAGCTGCGATTTATGTAATAAATAAAATTAATGAATTGGGGCGGGGTCACGACATACAGCGTAGTTCTTTTTTATTGTTAATTTTAAAGATGCTTAAGAAGAAAGCCAGATGGGGGGGAAATAAAAAAAGAAATACAAAAGATGATTTTACAAATTCTAAAAATTAAATTAAAAACACGGTCATTCCAAGCCGCTTGCTAAATCAGTTCGCAACCTCACATTCCCAATACTTTACAAAGAAAACAAAACGGGAGAGAACACCCAGCTCTTCAGCATAATTGCTTCTTTTTTTTTTTCCCCTCTTCAGGGTCAAGGTCTTGTCATGACGCTGTTACAGCAACTATGAGACTGAGCTTTTCGGCGCTGTAACATTGTAATACGTTCAAGCCATAGTTAAAAATGAGGATCTTTATTAGAATTCAACCGATCTGCCAGGTTTACTTGGAAGAAATCATTCCACCAAGCTTTATATTTGAGTATGGCTGCGGGATCGAATCAGTTCAATTAGTCAAAAGCGTTTAGTAGTGGGGAATGATTCGAGTGCAGGATCAATCAGGTGTGCCAACACAAGGATTCCACTTGTTGGTACCACGGGTGATCACGAGATCGTGGCAAAACACCAGCAACACAGAAGGGACGTTTGAGATGCTTCGGCTGTAATCGAGGCGCCTCGGAAAAATATCCGACCAACTTTCCCTATTTTATCTCAAGCCCCCGGATTTTCGGGCCCGCCATTCTTCTAGGGGTGGGGGGAAAGAAAGAAAGAAAGAGAAAGGAAAGACGACACAATTCGTGAGGCGAACCTTTCAGCTCCTACTGATAACTTCGTCGAAGCTCGGAAGCCGAAGCTCCCAGGCGGCACCGCCTTCCCAGAGCCCGAAAGCGCCCCCTGAGCATTGCGCTGGACGCGGGAAGGCTGGGCTTGGCGAGAGAGCCCTCGGTTGCTCCCCCTGTGCCCGGCCCGGTCTCGAAGACGTCATGAGAGGGAGGTATAAAATTTCAAGCGAGAGAAACAGAAGCAGGCAGTGCGCCTGGCGAGAAAAGGCAGAGGAGGCGACGGCGAAAGGGGGCCGAGGGGAGCTCGGCGGCGGTCGAGAGCGGAACGGCGGAGTCTCGGCGGAAGAAAAGAGACGGCTTCTATCAGAAACTGGGCAGCCGGGCGACGGCGGACGAGCTCCGAAAGCCGGGCAGGAGGCACCGCTAGCAGCTTTGCCCGCCCGCGCCAAGCTCAGGAGCTCTTGAGAAGAACAGCCAAGGCCATTCAGGCGCGTCTCTTGAGGGGACTCGGTCTCGGCGCAGTTCCCACCGGTATGGCGAGCGACGAAGCAGCATGAATGGGCAGCCACAAGTGCGCTCTCGGCCCCTGACACGTGCGCTCCCCGTGGAGTCTCCCCGCCGCCTGCCTCCTCCGAAGCTGCCCAGCGCCTCAGCGGGATTGGAAGCCCGGGCGAGACGGTGAAGCCGGCAGCTCGGCCCGATTTGCCCCCCTGCGCGGACGCCCTCGCCCTCATGGAGAGGAACCCCGGCGGGGCGGAGCGCCGATCCGCTTCCTCCTCTGCCTCGACGGCGGCCGTCGGTTCTTCCTAGGCTCGGAGTCCAACCCGCTCCCGAGGCCGGCGGGGAGATCCTTCATGCCCCTTCTCGCCAAGTGCCAAACGGCAGGATCTGCTTGGTCGCCCGCAGCTTTCCTGCGGAGTTTCCCCGCCGCTCTTTCCCCACCTTGCGCCACGCCTGAAGATGCACTTGCGCGGGACTTTGCTGCTCCTCTCGCTCCTGAGCTTGGCCACCGTCAGCCTGTCGCTCTCCTCCTGCACGACGCTGGACCTGGAGCACATCAAGAAGAAGAGGATAGAGGCCATCCGGGGCCAAATCCTGAGCAAGTTGCGCCTAACCAGCCCTCCAGAGAGTGTGGGGCGAAGCCACGTGCCCTACCAAGTCCTGGCTCTATATAACAGCACCCGGGAACTACTAGAGGAGATGGAAGAGGAGAAGGAGGACAGCTGCTCTCAGGACAACTCGGAGTCCGAATACTACGCCAAAGAGATCCACAAGTTTGACATGATCCAGGCCTTTCCCGAGCACAGTAAGTCCTTGTTCCTTCTGGGTTCCCGGAGAGCAATTTAAAAAGTGGGAAGAGGTGGGAGATGTTGCCTGATGATCCGTTATTTGAGAGGGGGGCAGAAACACAGCATCCCCTCTTGGGAATGGGAGGAGGAAGGCAAACTCACGAAGCAGTTAAAAGATAGGAGTGTGGAAAAGACTTCTGACAACAGCTGAGTTCTTGTTGTCTTTAGAATTATTGAATCCTCATGTAAGCTTAGATCTGAATCCAAGGCACAGCGGTCTGGGTTCTCTGCAATTGCTTAGCTGTTTGTAAATTCCTGGTTGCAAAAATAAAGAGCATTTCTCTGCCAGGTCCCTTGAGAGATCTATCCTGATAAATAGTTTTCCCCCTCCCCTTTTAGGATGCAGAATCTTGTCTGGCCCAGAAGTTGGCAATTACTGTTCATTGCGGCATTGTGTATCAGTGATTGGTGAGCGCCTGGCGAGACACTGATATTTATGCAAATGGATGAGGGTCTACTTGTATGCATGCACCACCAGAGCTGATTGCCTGGACATATATTAGATGCACAAGTGATTTTGCAAATATTTTGCAAAAATGTCTGTGTGAGAGTATCCATGTCTGTGTATATGAGCAAATACAAAAGACATGTGTAGATGTGTTTCCAACATAACCAGAAATCTTTTAAGTATATGTGTTGGATGTGGAGAGAACATTTTGAATATGAGAATAAAGTGTATCTGACTTTAGAAGTGGCATACAAATTTAACTCACGGATGAAAGTTGTGGGCCAAACAGATTTGTACAATGATTTGTTAATACCTATCTTTACCAAGCATATTTCAGGTTTGGGTCTGGTAGTGTGCTCAAATGGATTTTCTAATAATGGAAGAGTCTGAGAAAGAGGCTGTGAGTCTCTGGCCATAAGTACTTTTTCCTTGACTGCCATTAGGTGTCCTCATGGGCTCTTGAATTAACAGCAGAGCTGAGTGGGAGGTGAGACGGAAGACGTGTCCAAGTATCCTTGAGGGAGGGGTAGAAAAAGCAACAAGAAAAGAGAATGGCAAGAATATATTCAAGGCTGTTGATGATGACTGCAGAGGCCTGGAGATAGAGTGAGTGATGAGGGTGAGAGCTTAAACAATTCAGGCTGTAATCTCTGCACCCTTTCTTGAAAGTAAGTTTTTACTAAGGAAAGTAGGCTAGCCTCTGAGCAAACACTGATAGCCTCTTGGAAGCCTGCAGCTAGCCTCTCTGAACCCAAGTTACAAACATCATGTTTTTTAAAGTTGTGTAGCCCCTCTTCCCATGGGTAGAAAAGTTTTAGCATTGGTAATAAGCAAGCTCAGCTAGCTTTTGGTGCCTTGGAATAACATCATCCCCAGATCCAGCCAGTGTGAGAAGAACCAAGGATATCTACAAAGCTCAAGTAGGAAAGGAGGGGGGGGAGAGAGCAACAAAGAACATGAGTGGGTGGGAGCTATGTACTTCAGGACAGAGAGAGCAAAAAGTGTTCTGATGCTTTGAAGCCAAAATTATTTTTGAAGGACAGAGTAGATATATTAATATGTTCCATATGTGACTAGCAGTCACTGCAGATACTGGGGAAGCTTTCTCCTACAGAGAATACATAATGTATATTCAACCACAACTGGCGTGATAGATTTGGTTTCTGTTTTGCATGTAATAAAGTAAATCCTTCAATGATCAGCAATCAGTATGACTATTGAACCTGCACTCAGGAGCAGAGTTGGAATTATAAAGAAAATATTTGGCAAATTTCGTCACTAAGCCACTTAAACCTTTCACCAGTTCTACAAAACTGTAAAAATCTTCTTATGCCCCCTGCTCCTTATTGTGATGGTATATCTTGATTGTCATAATAGTTTTGTGGCCAGGTTATTGTTGGAAACCAAAAAAGTGCTGCTGCCTTTCCATGCAGAGCCTTGGCTTTCTTTGCACTGGGTGCAATCTCAGATCTGACAGCATAGTCCTTACCTTGGCAACAAGGATCTAAGTTAGAAACTCAGCCTACGTATAGGCAGCTACCCTTAAAAAAGGGGGAGCTTTTTTGGTGAGAGATACCAACAGTTGTTTATTTACATCATCACATTATTTCTCCTCCAAGAAATTCATTAAGTTGAAAAATGCGGACATGAATAAGAGTCAGAATAATAGAAGTGGCACAGTAGCTTCTTCATAATGCTGAGGGCATTATGAAAATGATACAGAACAGAACAGATATTAAGCAAATCAGAGGAAAAGAGGACTTTGAGAGGTCTTCACAAAGGTAAAAAAGAACTTTTGTACATCTTTGTACATCTGTGCTTTCTCTTGCTATGAAATAGTAGAAATATGGAGCCACAGAAGATGAAAAACAATAAATGCCCTGAAGCTAAATGAAATTTAAAATAATATTTCTGAGTTTCAGCGTTTCACTGTGGTAGTGTAATAACAAAAGAGGAGTTTATAATAAAGTATTGCAGTACCTAGAGTGTGGCATACAATTATGCTTGCTCATTTTTCCTCAGTGAGAGAAGTTTCAGAGGTTCATCACTTAACGGTACCGATGTGAATTCATGTTAGGAAAATCATAAAAGGATTACGGAATTATTCAGTTTTTGAGTTTAGTTACAAATATAATCATTTAATTGCAATGTTTCACATTCTGTTCTGAAAAAGAAGTAACCAGTAGAACAAGATGCTTCTATAACTTACTCTGTTCAGCCAACTTACTGATTTTCCTGCAGTGAAAGCCACTGCGGTCTCAAAAGTTGCTTCTATTGTTCCTGTGCCGACTTAGATTACATCAGCCTTAGCTGAAAGAAGGCCCCGCTGCCCTGTTTGGAAGGTATGGGGACGATCCAATTATTGAAAGTAATCAGTCAACAAACTCTTTAACAGAAGATATTGCTTGAACCTTGCCACCAACTTTTAAATTTTGCTCCATTCACATCTCCTTATGCAGTCCTATTTTGAGGCCCATTTCCCTGAACAAATACCACTTGAAGGATAAAAAAAAATACCTTCTGCATCCTTAGCCAATATGGTTATATTAAATGGGATCATAGCAATTTTAGTTCAATAAAGTTGGCACTTTATAGTTACTTGTTCAATTCTTTTCCTGATCCATATAGACACTATCTGACCAAATTGTGCAGCAGCCTAAGAATGTTATTCAGGAGATAAATGAAAACACAAGGAAGAGTTGCTTAAAATGTTATTTGAGAAATAACAAGAAATATATGTTCTGTTTCTGTTCCTTGCTACAAATTGGCAAGGAATTTGGTGGAAACTTGCAATGCTCTACATAAGAGACAGCAAAACAATTAATGGATATAACATATACCTTTCACAAGTTTTCAAATATCGCAACTGGAAAAAAGTAATCCATGAATAACCTTTGGGATTCCTATGTCTACCAAGCTGCAATAAATGATGAGATGACGATGCAGATGTCTCCGTACATTTGCATCGTACTTTGATTAAACTGTTCCATAAAAATATATGATCCGTGCCAATAGCAACAATGGTCTGAAGCAATCTTAAGGTACAGAGAAAGGGAAAGCAGTCAACGTTTAGCTTTAGTTAGAGAACAGTGATGAGCTACATTTGGTTGATGGAAAGAGGGAATTGTGGATTTACTTAGACAACCAAAGTAGCGAGTGTCTACAGCCCAGTTGCATGATATTGGATGCTGCTAAGGGAACATCAGGAACAACCCAACAATCTATCCTCTACTTAACAGGGGATTTGTGATTTCCCATATCAACTCTGGCAGTTGTGTTATGAATAACTATTTTGTGAAAGTGATTACAAAATACTCCTAAAATCCCAACTATGGCTCAATTTCCCAAAAATTCTCTATTTTACAGTAGGGGAAATGATATTTAATTTGAAGTATGTCCTGGAAAGGCATTTAGCCAAAGATCTGTGTGAGTTTATTCAGGATGCAAAGTCAATGTACTTGGGCAGGAAGAGAAACATCAGGCCAAGATAAAAGCAGTAAGAGCAGAGGTTGGCTGACATCAACCCCAGACTCAACCAGGTAGGTTGAGAAGCTTACAGTGAGAAGTTGAACTGTGGACTCTCTGGGAGGAAGTGTTGTTTTGACTTGTCTCCTGGGACCAAACAATTTGCATTCCAAGGGATGCCATTGAAGTTAGGTCATGATGAAGAAAGTAAGAGTGCAATTCAACTTAACCCTGGTGAAAGCAGAGGCCTGCCTTGCTGAAATCTGTGCCATTTCTCTCCCTTGCCTGGATGATGGATTTGGTCCCATGTCTTCAAAAGTGGCCAGTATTCAACTTTTCCTTGGCTTTGTCTCTCTGCCAGGTGGTGATTCAGAACAAACATAGAGCCAAACCCGCTCTCCTCCTCCAGTCCCCGCCACCCGAGGAAGTGGGGCGAGTCTTATTCCATTGAGGTTTCAGTGCTGATACAGACAATTCCGAACGGCACACACAGGAAATAGTCCTGGCTCCGAACTGTTCACCAGATAGCTGAAAGTATTTGTCTTGTTCCAGGACTTTAGCCCTGAAGAGGAAGCAAGATAGCAGAAGGAGGAGAGCTTTCGCTCCGATAGAAAAGCAGACAGTCCCACATCCTGGTTCCAAATGATGACAGGCGAAATAGATCTTTGCACGTGTACACCCTGCCTCCCCAACGTTTCATCTCTAGGACAGGAGGGTATATGGCCAAAAAATAAAAAATAAAATCCAGTGGCTCCTGTCCACATGACGCCATGTGGCAGGCTTCCCAGAGCACTACATCTTTGTTCCTTGTCAAAAGCAGCGGAGAGCACTGTGTTTTGGGGCTTGGGGGAGTAGTCTGTGCGTGTGGGCAAGGAGTTGAGGAATTAAAGACCTCTAGCCCTCTCCTGGTGGTCTGCTTTTTGGGCTAAAGGTGTGAAGTCAACTTCTGTGGAAAAAATACTAAAGCCTCTATAGAGGAGAAAAAGGGAGAAAAAGAAGCACAAGCAACTAGGATATGTAAGGAAGCACTTGGGGCTGATTAACGTAACCCTATTTCAATCTAAGCTTGACCTATGAATTGATATTCAATCCATTCCAGTGGATTTATTTCTACTGGGAGTTGATTTTCTTGGACTTTTCAGTAGCTTTTGATAACATAGATCAAGAGGGGACAGCCTAGAGCCCCCCGAGTCCCCTCTGATCATATCACTAAATTTGAATTTCCTGCCATTTTTGAGGTGAGGGACATACAAGAATTGCAATAGAAACCAAAATATGTGAGATGTAGGGTTTTTAAAAATGTGTTAATACATCTATTCTGTGACTAGTCATGGAAAAAGAGGGGAAATCACAATGCCAAATATGTCATCTGTTGTCCAAGGCAGTGGTGAAATCCAAATTTTTTTACTACCGGTTCTGTGGGCATGGCTTGGTGGGTATGGCAGGGGAAGGATACTGCAAAATCCCCATTCCCTCCCCACTCCTGGGGGAAGGATATTGCAAAATCTCCATTCCCACCCCACTCTGGGGCCAGCCAGAGGTGGTATTTGCCAGTTGTCCAAACTACTCAAAATTCCCACTGCCAGTTCTCCGAACTGCTCAAAATTTCTGCTACCAGTTCTCCAGAACCTGTCAGAACCTGCTGAATTTCACCCCTGGTCCAAGGGCTTCCTCAAGATTGCACCAACAAAATTTGGTGGCAAACCAACTGAATAAGGGGCTTTTGATTTGGGGTTTGTTTGTTTGTTTGTTTATGAAGAAATAAGAAAAACTGACATGTGAATCTTTAAAACGATTGAACACAGCTATTTTAATTGTAAAAACAATTACCAAATTATTAATTTCCTAGTTGGTTTAGGTGAGAATCTGTTTGAAAACAATGTGTTTTTAAAATAATTTGTTGGCTTTTGATGGGCCAGTTTTAGCTGGTTATCTTTTACAGTGACTTAAACACTTGTTCTTTATTCAGTTTAAGATTGTTCTTTATCCTGAATATATGGGACCAAGTTATTAATATGCTTAAAGGATGAATCATTAAAAGATGGCTATTTGAAGGTAACCAACTTATTGATTTGCACTAGGCCACTGTTTCTTTTGCTCTTAAATGTTTTAATTTGTCTAAGGAACAGCATCTGGGTAGAAAGTACTTCCAAGGAGGAAAGAAATATGTTAACTCTGCCTTGATTTTTCTACCTAAAGAGTCATGTCAAACTGTGAGATGGGCAGTATATAAATTTAATAAATAAATAAATGAAATGCTTTCAGTCCTGGTTGTCTTATGATCTCCCTCCTCAATGCCATCCCAGCTCATTTGTCATTTTCTTTTAGATGAGCTGCCGCTATGCCCCAAAGGAGTAACGTCCAACATGTTCCGCTTCAATGTGTCTTCAGCAGAGACAAACATCACCAACCTCTTCCGGGCAGAGTTTCGGGTCCTTCGCTTGCCAAACCTCAGCTCCAAACGTTCTGAGCAGCGTATTGAACTCTTTCAGGTAATCCCGCTTCCTAGCAGGGCCTCCAGGGCAGGGGTGAAATCTACTTACCTTCCCAACCGGTTTGGAAGTGCACGTGCCACGCGTCACGTAAAAAACAGGTTACTTCCTGATTAAAACCAGGAAGTTATGACGACCGGGTGGGTGAGCGGATCCTCGCACCACCATCGCTACCAGTTCTCCAAACCATCGGCCACCATCGCTAATGGTTTGGCCGAACCGGGAGCATTTCACCCCTGCTCCAGGGTTCTTCAAGGGACAATCTGCTATTTCTAGTGTATATTTTTGCTTTCTTTTCAATCCCCCATGCCCTGGTCCATGACTACTAACCTTTCCTCTCTGGTATCTGAGTTTTTTCCCTCTTCAGAAGGCAGGGATGTGATGAATAATTATGAAATTATTTCATCATTTTATAGACAAGGCATGTTATGTGTTTGGGTCCCTATGCCAAATAAATCAATAACCTATTACCCAGCAGTGCAAACCTAGAGAGTGACTTCTCTTGTCCTTTGTTGCTAAAAGGCACATCTTCACATCCTCCTATGTTCATCTTGAGAATGCCTGGCTAATCATATTGAAAGATCATACACACATAATGCAGCTATCTCAACCCTAATCCATAGGCCAAACTAAGATGAGCCGAACTGAAATTGAATGTGGGGTTTCCACCTTCTCCTGGAAACCAGGCTGTTTGCAGTGTGCTTAGTACTTTGGCTCATACTAAGTTAATGATGCAAAGCAAAGGGATCATTCCGGCAACTATTGGCCATTTTGGGCTGGTATGGGCATGACCCCTCCCTCCCCTCTGTTCTTCACTGTACAATGTGTCAGCCGGCTGCCAATATATTGCACAGGGATTCCTCACTGTTCAGCAAGCCAGCACAGCTGTTGACTGCTTCTGCCAGGAGAAGATGGGAATGTTTCAAATCCTAGCACCCCCTACCTCCACCTGCTGGTAGCAGCCCCCATTATCACCACATGCAACCGTCTAGCGTGGATGCCAATGCACCATGTGGGGGAATCTCAGGGATAACCCTGAGATATGCTGATGGATAACTGGCTGATGTGAACAAGTTCTCTCCTTCCAGGCAATGCCCCCTTGCAGTTTTTATTGTGTATTTGGAAAGCAAGAATATTATTGGATGGGGAGATACATGGGGTTTTTGGTAAATCAGGAGAGGAGAGCACTGAAAATTTCCCTTCCCCCAAGATCAGGTTCTAAACAAAGCTAAACCTATCCACTCTACGTATCTGCCACAACTTCCCTCCCCCAGTTCACATCAAGAACAGCAACCAATGCAAACTAACCAATCCTAACCTTCACAGCAAAGACTATGGTGCCTTTAATAGACACTTTGTAGGCACTAATAGCACAGTGTGCTTTCCTTGAATATTCCAAGGGCTTAACATACATATAGCTCATTAATACTTTAGAATAAGATTACAGAAAATGTGGGAGCAGAGGGGATAAATATGAGGAACCCTAGAATGAAAAAAAACCTATAAAGCATAATTATAGGCTCAAGGAAGGTTTAACATAAACCTAAGTGCTGGTAACCTAAAATAATTTTCTTTACTTTTTATTGTAATGTTATAAATCTTGATGTTGTATAATCTTGTATAATTTCAATGTAGATTTTAATGCAGTAATGTTGATATCATATGATTAAAAATTATTAACATTCTATTATTTTAAAAGTTCAAAGTAGTAAAAAACATAAAATAAAATGATTCTATCATTATCATTTAGTATGTCAGAGTTACAAAGTTGAGTATTGTATAAGATTTAAAAAAAGAATCACTGCAATTCACATCAAAGTATTAGTTATAGGACAGCTTCAGTTTTAATTATGATGCCAGAGGGGCAAAAACGGGACCCGTGGAGGGTTTGGGAGTCCAAAAATAGGCCCGTTTTTAGCCCGCAGAGTGCTTCTGAATGCTGGGGAGGGCAAAAATGGGACATGCAGAGGGTTTGGTAGGCCAAAAACAGGCCCATATTTGCTCTATAAGACACAGTCATTTCCATCCACTTTTTGGGGTGTGAGGAAAGTGTGTCTTATAGTCTGAAAAATACAGTACTTAAAATTAAGTTCTCCATTATATTGTTAGTTTATGTATGCGTACATAGTATGTACATTTCTCTTCAGATTATGACCACTCATCCAGTGGCTGTTCAAACTTGCAACAGTACTGAAGGAGAAGGATTTTTAATGGATCCTTGGAGTTCTGTCCATTGCAGTGAGTTGCAGTTATGTGATCTCAATTTCTGACGTTCTCTGCTGACTCTCCATAAGCACTCAATGGGAAAGCTGGCAGAAAGTTGGAAGATACGTTTAAGTGAGATCCTTGCTTCTTGGTCCTTGCTTAACACAGCAACTGATACTTATATATTAATAAAAGGAGATAAAAATAGATAAAGCAAATTGATCAAAATATTAAAACACTTAAAAGGTAAAAAGTAGAAAAACAATTGGATGAAGAAGCTTCTTGGGATGAGAAGCAAACATTTTCAAGGAAAAACCCAAGAAAGTCCAGTTGACTTTTAAAAAACACCTTTGGGACAATTAGTTTAGATATTAAAATATTTATTAAACAGCATTTTAAAAAGTGCCTAGAAATTGTTTATCTGGAGGATTTGCTCTTGGTGTTGTAACTTTAGACCAAACAAGGTGATAGCAGTGAATCTTCTATGGGGAGAGGCCCATGGGCAGATCACTCTATGAATAAGAAACACATAGAGCAGGTGTGGGATAAAAAAAACAGACTGTCAGGGGTGGTTATTGGGTGAAGAAGCCATCTTTCATTGCATTGTCAAATACCACTCCATCTTTCCCTTGCAAACTGAAGACAGACTCTGTGTCAGCTTGTTGAGCCACCTGCTTCTCAGGAACATAGTGGGCAGGGGACAGACAGGGTATGCAGCAACAAGAGGGCAGTGGGAAGCATTCGAGCCATGACCTTGTCTATGTCTTGATCATGTTAACTGATTGTTCTCTAGTTCTCCCCTGGCCTGGTTTTTTTTAGTGATTATAATCCGGCAACAAAAACAAATACTTAGCATAAGGGCACTCAGAAAGCTCTCCATTTAAATCAAAGAAATCCATTTGATTCAGTATAGCATAATGCAATCCTTATGCCTATTTGAATGATTACATGCCCTCAAGTTATTGTTGACTGTTAGCGAACACATAATAGATTTTATCCATGATGATCTGTCCCTAACCTGGTCCTTTGAATCTTCCAATGATGCACTCATTGCCACTGTAACCGAGTCCACCATTTTGCTGCTGGTCATCTTCTTCTCTTTCCTTCCACCTTTCCCAGAATTACAGCTACAGTTCTAGCTTCCAGAAAGCTAGGTCTTTATATAATGTGCCCAAAGTCGGATAAATTAGTCATTTATCCTTGAGTGAGAACTTTGGGCTGATTTATTTGATTATCTCTTTGTTTGCTTTCTTGGCTATCCATGGCATTCTCAGTGCTTTCTACCACTACAGTCCAATAGCATCAATATTCTTTTTATCCTCTTTTTTTCAAAGTCCAACTTCCTCTTCCACAGTGTTACAGACAATACCATGGGTTGCATAATTATGCTCTTTGTATGTTCAGAGATATAATGGCACTTGAATATATTTTCAAAACTCTTCTTGGCTGCTCTACCAAATACTAGCCTGCAGTGTATTTGATTGCTTGTTTGATCTTAAAATATAGAAGCTATCCACTAGTTGAATTTCTTCATTGTAAAATATGCCTATTTACCTGGGAGAAAGGCCTACTGAATAAAGATTCCCCCCCTTACAAAGATTCCCTCTTATGACTCCCTCTTAAATGTCATCCAGGACATTTTGAAAATCTATCGTTTTCCCAAGTCTGGGGACAAGATGATCATGGAGCCCAGTTTTGATTGATTTTTAGTTGAACATCTCCTAGAGTCATTTAGGATTTGGGCAGCCTTCCAAACAGCCAAATAAATATAAGCAAATAGACATACTCCTAAGTAGAAGTGAAAGTTCATACTGTTAGTCACTTACATTATATCCAATATTGTAATCCAGATTGAGATGTAGAAAATATCAAATGGGAGTGTTGTATCAGAACACTCCCATTTCCCATATCGGTTTATTCACAGCACCCTTATTGAATGGAAGATGTGTATTTGAAAGCTAGATGCCCTACTAATAATTTAGGTATTAATCCTTAAGTATTAATCCTTTGAACTATATCTTTTGTCCATATTCCCTTTCAGTTCATGGCCAATGCTTACACAGAGCTGCTTCCAGGAAGATATAAAGCAGTTTAGGTATCTAGGCTAGTATTGTTTCAAAAATTCATAGTAATGGTATGAGAAGCTAAGCCCTTCATGTGGAGGCATAAGCATCTCTCACAGTCAGGAGAATCAGGACATGGTTCTGACAAGTAGTTTTCTAGTGAAATCATGGGACAAATTGTTGTGCAACCCAGCTTCAGTCTGTACCTTCATCCCCTTGTATTTCATCATCCTCTATGTCAGTTTTTATGTGCATGCTTTCCTGTCATATTCTATTCCTTTGGTAGACATGGCTAGAATTTGCTCAGATGAATCACATTAGACATTTTACATATTACAGAAAACCAGAGAGAAAAACATAACTCAAGCATTCTTACCCAGAAGAGTTGGTCTTATCAAAGGAAACTCAGGAATTGTCCTTTGTGACCTAAACAATGCCTTGTGTCATCTGCTTCTTGTAGATCCTGAAACCTGATGAGCATATTGCAAAGCAGCGGTACCTAAGTGGCCGAAATGTACTGACACGGGGCTCTCCTGAATGGCTATCTTTCGATGTCACAGAGACTGTCCGTGAATGGCTTTTTCATAGAGGTGAGTGGCACATGAAGTAAGTTAGATTCCTCTCTGTTAGCAAGTTGCATGTGTCTCCTTAGACATATAGGAAACCAGCCTTTCCCCACTTAATAGGCTCCATAGATATTGGACTGCAATTTTTATTATGGCCAATAAGAGTTAAGTCCAATATATTGGGAAATTCCAGATTGGCGAAGTTTGGTGTGAATTGATTCTAGTATTGTTTTTATATAAAGTTTTCTCTCATATAATTAGTAATGAGAAGCACATCATAGCATGATTTACAAGTTAGTTTGTTAGTTGCTGAGGTTCACAGGAACATTAGCATCTGGGCAGCAGCCAAAATTGAGATATAGGAAAATGATTTTAGCAGAATAGTCATCATGTGCCTGGATTGTTGGTATGACCAAATTCAGGAGATCTTTTCCCCTAACCTGTGGTGGTGGTAACCCTGAGAGCTACAAATTGACACGAGTCCTACCCTGGAGTCTTATAGCTTAATGCAGCACAGCAGTTGCTACAGAGATTAGCACTCAGTAGAGAATAATAGAACAAAACACAGGCTGTGAGATTCAGCAGCTGCAGCTAGCTCGGAAAACTGGACAGGTGCTAAAATTCAGGCTTGAACCCCAGACTATGCTTTTGGCCACAGACAGTAGTCTCTGCCTATGAGGGATATGCTTGTTACTCTCATGTTTCCTATCTCCAATAATTCTGCCAAAAATGTTCAGATTCTATGACAGTTACATGCAAAGCAGTGTCCAAATATTATATGTAAACTTGGAATATTCATTTCCCATATAAATCCTAATTGTAGTACAGAAGGTTTTTTCTTGCTCGATTTTGGGTTTAGTGGTTTAGATTTCCAATAGGAAAGTTACTTGGTTGTTTCATTTATAGAATGTGGTTGGGAAAAAGTATTGTATAAAAATACAACAGCCAGCCCTCTTTCTATAAAAGACAGATTTCTGTGGTATTGCTCCATCCAAATAATTAAGGTTTCGAAATCTTGAAATTGGGTGTCACGGATCTCTAAACTTTTTATCCACATTATTCAGGCAAATTCTCTTTTTTAACCAACAGCCCTATCTATAATAAAATAATGAGGACTTGCTAATTTCTTTGAGGAACTCAAAAGTATCTTAAGGTTCAAACTATTATGGCAAAACCCATTAAGATCCCTGTCAAAAGTTGATAGGTCAGTCCAGCCTGCTCCCAAATATTGTCATAGTACATTATAAATAACTTGTTTTTGTTGAAGGTTGAGATAATTTCAGATTAGCAATCCAGACAGGACAGAGAACTCAATATGAAGCTACTACTGGACAGAATCTGGTATGGTTTGCACATATATAGTTCAGTTTCTCCTTCCAGTCATTTTAATCTTGAGAAAACATCCATTCAGGATCTCCATTCTTAACAGATTTAATTAATAGAAGAAAAGAAATGAAAATTGCTGAATCATTATTTGTTTTCATGAATATTGGTTGGTAAGGGTTTTTTTTAATTCTTCATTTTCTTACAGAATCTAATCTAGGACTGGAGATTAGTGTCCATTGCCCATGTAACACCTTTCAATCCAATGGCGACATTCTGGAGAATCTGCATGAGGTGCTGGAGATCAAATTCAAAGGTAACAGAAATGAAACTGGAGGGGAAAGTAGAATAACTCACCTAAATTTGAGTATTGTTATTGCATTCATGGTCTAATTGTATTCCACTACATAGCAGTGTGTATGTTTCTCTATGAGCAATTGTCAGATATTTGTTTGTTTATTTACATTAGGGATAGATAATGAGCGTGGGCACTTGTATACTTACAGATTACCTTAACAGCAATCCTTTTTTCAAGGAGCTCGAAGCCGTGTGCTTAGAACAGGCATCTCATAGTAGAATTCTCAATGTTTTCACACAACTTTGGGGAAACCTATAATGGTTAAACTGGCATAAAACTGCTAAGTGTTACAGACATCTGTGTTACTGAGTTATAAATACAACTTTGTAAATCAGTGCACATCCACTTTCAAAAACTCAGCCTCTGCTGTGCTGCTGCAATGTTTGGGCATAGAGATTAGGAATGGTTTGTAATATCATAGGAAGCCAACAACTTTTGAAATCTCAGTATTAGCAAGTGCCTGGCTTTGGGTCTTCCACTGTGGGCAATAGTATTCAGGAATTTTGTATCGCCGATTTTTTTTTTCAGTTGTTCGGTTCCAGTTATCATCCATTATTAAGTAACTTATCTCTTTTGGCCTGTTCAGGAACTGATTGCAATATCAAGAGATAGATTTAAATGATCTCCATCATCAGTCTGCAAATTATAAAACAAATGACCTTCAGGATTTTCTCTCAGTTTTATTTATTCGAGTAAAACCACCATCCTTACAAAAGATAGATTTATGGATTCCAAGATTTCCTAATGCAGTTCTAAAGCAACTCTTTGATGTCTCCTTTTCCCCCATGCTTCTCAGGAATAGACGGTGAAGAGAGCCATGGCCGTGGGGATTTGGGGAGCCTGAAGAAACAAAAAGACCTGCAAAACCCCCACCTGATTCTGATGATGCTGCCTCCACATCGTCTTGGAAGTTCAGCTGTGAGAAGCCAGAGAAAGAAACGAGCATTGGACACCAATTTTTGCTTTCGGTAAGCTAAGATTCCTGAACCTACCTTCCTCTGGAAATTAACCATCTTTCCAGCAAAAAATGATCTTGAAAGCAACATTGGGATGACTTTAGATAATTATGAAATTTAAAGTTAAGTGCAACTGATTAACCCCACCGGTTAAAGTACTGTCTCTCAGAACTATAATTCCTTCCCAGCTCTAAATCTTGGCAATTTATTTGTCCTCACTTTAAATGTGAAATTAGTATCCAAAATCTATTCTCTGGCTGAGAGAAGAAAAATTCCACTTTGTGTAGGAAGAGCCAAGTCATCCCTTTAGAAAAAAGAAAAGGCAAATTCTTTCTTTTGCATGTTTGTTTGTTTGATTCACTGCAGTGGAAAAACAAAACAATTAAAAATAATATTTGGAAAAAAACCCACACTACCGTTAGGGTCCAGTCTCACCTTATCACAATGCCCGGAGGAAAAGTCATCTTTTTAGGTTCTTCTGGAAGTTCAAACGGGTGGGGCCTGCCAGATCTCAGGGAGAAGGTATTCCACCGGGTGGGGTCCTCTATTGAGAAGGCACGCTTCATGGGTCCTGTTAGATGACAACATTTGAGTGAAGGGACCTGGAAAATGCCCACCTTATACAGTCTGGTGCAGCAGGTAGATATCCTCGGGGAGAGGGGGTCTTGCAGATAACCTGGCCACACGCTATACAGGGCTTTAGAAGGGGACAATCATTTTGAATTGTACCTAGAGAGAAACTGGAAGCTTGAACAGTGGGATCTAAGTGAGTGGTGGTGCCTAAAACTTCAAACACCACTGCATTCTGAACCAATTGCAATATCCAGACAGTTTTCAAGGACAACCCTATGTAGAGTGCTTTGTAATAGTTAAGCTGGGAAGTGACCAGAGCATGAGTGACTACAAGCAAGGTGTAAGGTCAAGGAATGGGACCAAGATTAATTTTTATATAAAAGCTCCCCAAACCCACCCATGGCTATCACCTTCCTCAAGCAGGAGTTGCAAATCCAGGAGACCATCCCAAATTGCACACCTGCTCTATCTGGGGGAATGCTAGCCCATCGAGAGGTGAAGATGACATCCTTCCAGAACTAGAGGAAGCAAAAACTCCAAGCTACTCCATCTTGCTATAGATATGAGGCAGGTGCCACTAGCACTTGGAAAAGTATATACCTTTGTAGCCCAAACTTGATATGCACTGTCTGGATTGCAACCATACTATCATACCAGGTGCAAGAAACCAGAAATCATGGAGACAGTGACAGAAAGGAGAGAAATGTTCCTTTTAAATGATGCATTCCCAGTGATACCAGGAACCAAATAGGTTCAGTAAGGCTCAGAAAAAGCTGAACTTTTTTGTGTGAGTTTTCACATAATTGGTGGGCTGCATTTAGCTTGATAGATGCAGGACGGCTTTATTGAAGTCTCGGGATTGTTGTTAGAGCAGGTGTCCAAATCATGGAGTCAGGGAAACAGATGAGCTGCATGGATTAAAGGATTATCTATAGACTAAACTCTTTACATCCTCTGCTTCTTCCTAAACTGTGTCTTTTAGAATGTAATATGAAGAAGGATAACACAAGTGGAGCTGAGAAAGTTTTTTCATCCATTGTTCATAATTCCCTTATTCTGCTGAGCAGCATTTTGGGGATCATGTATTTATTTACTCGTTATAGCACCAACTATGAGGGTGTCACAGCGAGTTGACAACAATACTAGCTTGGAAAACCTGCTGTTCTCCTAAGAAGAGTAATATGCTCCTGAAATCTTCTGTCACATATATAGGGCAGCCCCAAGGTTTGTTTTCTCTACAAAGCCAAACTAATCACTCTGACTGCTTTGAAATATTTATAGCAGCTTCCCTGGGTTTTTCCCCCATTAAAAGAAACAGCCCTTTCATTTCAGGCTGATTTTCATCCTCTTCTTCATCTGTATGAAGTTTCATAATTAAAACAACAACAACATGGAGAGGAAGAGGGCTTAGTAGATTTGCTACCGTTTCCTTCTTGCAATTTTGCTCAATTTTTTTTAAAAAAACTTCAAGCCTTAATCAGACACTGTCATAACTATTTTTTCTGGATTATCTTCTTGTGCATACATGTTATGTTCCAAGATAGTGGTTCAGTCAACATCTTATAACTCAGTGTTAATGCAGGTGCCTACATTTATTTAAAGCAAAAGACCAAAAACATCAAAACAAAAAATACAAATACAAAAATAGGCTCTCCTGGCCACATCTGCTGCCTAGTCTTTAAGCAGGAGCTGAGAATCCATTAGGACCTCCAAATTACATACATGCTTTTTCTGGGGAAATGCTGCTCTTGAATTAATACACGATTGAATTTGAATAAATGATTTGAGTGTATTTAATATCAGCTCCCTTTTGTTATAGGAATCAGGAGGAGAACTGCTGTGTACGTCGTCTCTACATCGATTTTCGTCAAGATCTGGGCTGGAAATGGGTGCATGAGCCAAAGGGATACTTTGCTAACTTTTGCTCCGGGCCATGCCCTTACCTTCGTAGTGCAGATACCACACATAGCACGGTAATCAGTGTTTTAATATGAGAAAAGAACTTACAAGTTAGGGCATCTTCTCTATCTCTACATTCCCTCTCATGGATAGTTATGTTTTATGAGTTTTTGTCATTTATTGAGGTTGCAGTCTTGCACCTAGTTTCCTAGGTTCTTATTAAACTTAGTGGAGCTTGCGTTAAATATGGGCAGAAAGACAGATAATTTGTAGACAAAGTTCTTGGAGCACATAGAAACCTCACCTCCTTTAAAAAGTTTTTAAAAGTTAAACAAGAAGCTGGTGGCATCCTAAAAAGGAAAACATTGGTGTCTAGCATAATTTTTATTTACAAGAGCATTCTGAATACTACATAAGGTCTACAGATCAGTTTTCCCCAGCCTTCACACCCTCACGTTGTGTGGAGTACAACTCCCTGCTCAATCAGCCATGGCTCTGCTGGTTGAAGAATGATAATTAAAGACTAGGGTCAGAAAAATATCTGTTTGAAGAGGACTGCCATCATCATCCACAGAAAATAAAAATGGGGTAGAAAGTGCCTTCCTTGGTAGTCTGCTTAAGTGCCCAGAAAAAAAGCAAAGAAAACTTGGGGCACTTCCCCTCTGCCATACTTTTCATCTTCATTTTTGGGTGAATTGGTGTTTTGGGGCTGCCTACATCTACCGTGGCTGTTTTGTGAATAAACAAGCCTCTTTCCCATGGCAATCATTTTGCAAAACAATCACAACATGGTCTCAAAATTCTGAGCCTGTCTCCATTCCACTCCCCAAATAAACACCCTGGGAAGTTTTATTGCTCACAGAATGATTTCCCCTTTTTAACTATGAATGCTGCTAAACACGGGCAAATATGCGTAGTTAAGGCACACTTCACAATCCCTGGTTGCTGAAAGAGGCAGCCATTCTGCTATGTCTGACTTTTCTTTACAGGAAATAAAAGAGTTTGCTTTGACGGGAATATTTTGGATTTGGAAAATGGCATAGAGCGTATAACATTTCCTCTCTCCAAACACTGTGGCCTCCCTCCCTCCAGTGCCACTTGGTGTCTGGTTTTTACTTTTTTTCCAAAAAAGAGTGTGAATTCCTTGTCACGGCTTTTCCAAAACTGTGTAAAGAAAGACATTATTCAAAATGGAATTAAGATGTAGAATGAAGTATGGGTCAAAGGAAACAGCCTATAAAAACCTGAAATGTTTCATGTGTTTTTAATTAGTTCTACACAAAGGAATGGAGTAAAAATAGCATTTCCTAACTCTCAGATCAGTCTTATTTCAGAGGCATTCATTGCCCACTGAAGTTTAGTTGCAGATACATCTGATGATCCCCCTCCCTCTCCCCAATCCATGGATAGTTTTCTGACAGCTCTGATGCGTGTGATGCCTAGTGTGATGACAATTGCATTGGAAGAACCTAAACAAGGAACTCCTTAATAAGCTCACACTCATCATTCCCTCTCTAGTTTTTTCCAACTGAAAAATAATTATGCTCCAGCTGAAAAGGAAATCAGGGAGAGATAGTTTGCAGCTATATCACTGGGCACATTTTGTTTAAACCATATCTGGTGATGACTGGCATATGATTACATTATTTTGCTCCTGGGGCTTAACTACAACTCGTTAGGCACAGTATCTGTCTGTCTTTTCCCTCTTTTAAATCAAATTTTAGCGCAGTGTGAAGTGGCTTACTATTCTGCATTCTGCCCCAGAATTTCTGATGAGCAAAAATTAGACCTAGCCCTGAGTTCTATACCTTGTTTGCTTTCTATCCATTTTCTGGGCCATGGGCCAATACAAATATTCTTTTCTATAAAATAAATGTAATAAGGGTTTGCTGAAAAGGATCTTCCCCTCTCTTGCAACAGTTATGGAAGTCAATAGTTAAACCATTGTGGTTGTTAATGCCTGTTATAAGTATTTATATGGCAAAGTACAGTAATAACTATTAGCTTTGGCTATAGAGGAGAATTTCCATGATGGGAGACAACTATCAGCATGGATAGGAAACACCCAATGAAGCACTGTAGCAGTTGCTCAATCAGAGTGTTGTCTATGCTGCGATTATTGTGAATGTAGAAGAACTGATTGAATATTTCTTAGCAGTGCAGCATTTTAAACAGATCTGTTTACCGTTTGGTTGTGCATAATTTAAAATCTGCATGATAAGAAATCCGACTCAGTTTAGAAATTATACTAAATCAGTTTTTTAACCTCATATGCTACAATTGACAACATTCACAGAAAATGATAAATCGTAAAACATAATCCTGTGGCTGGATTCATAAAAACACACTAAGAATCAAACATATTATAGCTTAGTATATTGTGAAAACTCAATGTCAGCTCAGTGTCTCTTACTAAATGGGGTCTAAGGAGGGGGTATACTTCCTCTACTTGGCAGTTCTACGGTAGTACGTAGTAAACAGCAGTCTGTCTCAACCTAGAAAATTTGGAGCTTACAAACTATTTTCATAATTATTTTCTGTATACAATATTTTGTTTGAGGAGAGGAATCAATAGTATTAATTTGATGGGCCATGAAGAAGGCTGATGGAAGGAAGGAAGACTTGCTGTAACTGGACATACTACACACCCTGAGCTTGAAAAATAGACAAATACTAGTTTTCCTCAGTTGTCTTCCGATCTTGTCTATAGCAATATGTAGAATGAAGCAAAGCAAGTATCTCACTTGGACTTGTAGAGAACTGAAACAGTTGGGAGGTGAATGTTGATACTTGAGAAGGACTGGATTAAATCCAGTATGATTTCGAAAAGCTGGCCAAAGTAAGTTGATTTTTTTCAGCTGTTTTTCTTGAAACTCTTAGCAAGACTGTAAGCCGGTTACACCCAGTTTACTTATTTATTTTTAAAGAGAAGAATATGCTAAAGAACTATATTTGCTAAGAAAAGAGGTTTGGGTGTTACACAACTTACTTAGCTGCTCCAGATGAAAAATCATTTGATCAGTAAATTGTTCAATATATTGACCCAGTGGCTAAGCTGAGGTAGAAGCTGTAAATGTTGGATTTTTGAAATATGCTTCCTGCCCAACATTAATTCTAGCAACTGGCAAGTGCTAGCTAAGATCCTCATATACTTCTTGGTTGTTTTTCCAGGTTCTTGGTTTATACAATACTCTGAATCCTGAAGCATCTGCTTCCCCCTGTTGTGTTCCTCAGGATCTGGATCCCCTGACTATCTTGTATTATGTTGGAAGGACCCCAAAAGTGGAACAGCTGTCTAACATGGTTGTGAAATCTTGCAAATGCAGCTGAAAAGGACCCAGTGCAATTTCCAGCTCAGAAACGGCAACCACTACCCTTGATCCCAGAGTAAAACTCAATCCTAAACCCATTTCTGCCTTCCTGACTTTATCACCTTGTTTCCTTATGAAGTTTTTTTTTTTCCATGTATGGATGTTTGAGGAAATGGACACAATGCAAGCTAGATTTTTAATGGATAAAGGCCACCAAATAAGGGATTTTCCCAAGGAAGAAATCATGAGCAGAGTTGGAGCATGCAGAGCATATAGAAAAACTTGACTTTTTTGCCCATCACTAACTGTTTCATCGAGCTCAACCTTTTTTGCAAGAGGAGGATGGCTGGTTTCCTTTTAACTGGACATATTTTATTAGCACCCATACCATAATGGAAGTCATTATTCTGCAGACAGTGAGCACACAAAATTTGTGGTCCAAATATGAATCTTCTTCTCTTCTCTGTTTTCTCTTTCCTCCTGGAACACCTGCTGGAGGGCTTCTGCCACAGTGGTTGGCTATGTCTCTCTATCCCAACCCTGTTCTTTGGTATCTTCAAAGAATCTTGAGGCTGTTGTGGTGGTTGAGATCTTCTTTAAAAAAAAATCTGCCCATCTTGTACAAGGACTTAGCCTAGGCCACACCTGCCAAAATTTTATACAAAATGTTAATCTCAATATTGTAAAAAATAAATATTTTTCTTTTGGATATTAGAATTTTATGTTCAAGAAAGTTGTTTCCGTATGGAAAGGAAGAGATACTTCTACAGCTGTGGAAGAACCCACACAGGTCAATCTATAGCACTTATTGCAGCAAGAAGCCACCCTTGATTAAAACCACATTTTCAGTGACTGAGAGTCATGAAGGAAATAGTAATGCTGAAATGAGATTTGCACAAGCCAATGGGACCAATTTGGTTCAGTTGTTGTTTCACTCTTCATTTGGTGGTGTTGGATTAATGTTTTAATTTTCCTAATTTGTTTTTAAAGATGTGTTAAACCTGTGACTGAACTTGTAATACTTATATTATTTTGAACTAGCCCCACTTTAAAAAAAAAAGAAAAGAAAAAAACCACTCCATTGTTATTTGCCATTTATGTTCTCAAGGGACTAACTTGCAGACATACCAAAATTATTATTAGTTTTTCCAGAAAGTAGATTGACCATTCTAGATAACCTTGAGAGACATGTAGCAGGACGAAGGATTGGTTTCAGTTGTTATGAATAGATGTTAACATAAGTATCACAGTGAAAAGGGTAGCTCTCTGGTCTCCTTAAGGCCCGAACAACTGAAAAGAGCCCACACTGTTAAAATAACAGTTGTTTCAGTTGCTTCAACAATGGAATCAGGCATATTCAAAAAGCATTACTTTTGTCAACCTGACTGCTGACATATTCTCCCTATTGCTTACTTGTCAGTTTCATATAGCAATAGCACTTAAGACTTATATACCACTTCACAGTGCTTCTCCAGCCCTCTCTAAGGGGTTTACAGAATCAGCATATTGCTCCCAACAATCTGGGTCCCCATTTTACCGACCTTGGAAGGCTGAATCAACCTTGAACCTGAGATTTGAATTGCCAAATTGCAGGCAGTCAGCAGTCAGCAGAAGTAGCCTGCAGTACTGTATTCCAACCACTGCGCCACCGCAGCTCTTATTTAGACATTGGGTGGATAATTTTTAAATAATTAACTACAAGGATCTAGACAGGCTGAATGAGCAAACAAGTATAGGGTGGTAAGAGATTTCTTCTCTTTGCCCAATCACTGTGGCTCTGTTCTAACTCCTCTTGTAGCCTGGAAGTAGTCACCTCATGCAGATCAGGACAATAACAAAAGTGTTTCATCTCCTGCTCCCTCCCTCCCCCATTTTGGGTTCTAATCATATTAGAACACTGCATCTTTACTTTAAAAGTTTTTTTTGTTGTTGTTTAGATTGCTACTGAAAGAGTAGTGTTGGAAGACCTGAAGGGCCTGGTTAGAGACAAAGTGTCCTAGAGAAAATCTATGTGGAATGCTAAGAGTCACATTGATTAGGTGGCATATAATCAATCAATCAATGAAAGCATAACAGATATTCCTCAAGGTGAGGAAGAATACATTTGGCTTCCAAACTACATGGAGGCCCTTAGGCAGGGAAACAGAAAACCACTCTTTTAGCACTTCTTCTTCTTCTTTTTTTTTTTTTTGCTACAAACAAGACAAATGGGCTATTGGGGTTTGCCAGTTCAAAATATGACATTGAATTGCATATTCCTTTTCTTTATTTCTGTTAAACCCTAGCTAGGCCTCTCTCTAGCACAACCTTATTACTGTTCACTTTCTATCATGCTGTTCTAATCGCTAATAAGAAACATTTTTATGAAACATGAAAAATTCCAGATACAGCAGCTGGGGTGGTGTCAATCTATCATATCAACTCTTTGGCTAAGAGCCTGTGGCAGGGAAACTCAAATTCAGATAAGAGGGTACTTCCCACTCATTGCTTAGCTTTTAGCCTTCTAATTTTTCTCTTAAGATCTCCTTGATATATAAAAAGTTAAAAGTGAGGCAAGTAAATGTCCCAAGGACATACTTTACTGGGTTTTAACTTTTGTGGACAAGAGACATCTCTTGATTTCTGCAATAATCTATATAATTTTGAAATGAAATATTTATAAATAAATCACAGCACATAAATTTAATCATCTGGAATCTTTTTCTGCTCTACAGTTGCTTCTGATGCTCCTTAAAAATAAATACAGGTGAATGCAATTTTTTCCCCAGCAAGATATATTATTCTTTTGAAAACTGAGCTAGATTTTGATTTCCATATGCAATTTCTGCATAATTTCATTTCCTTGCTTAAATGTCAGTCTGTTACGTAACAGCACATTCAAATATCAACTGCAGTCTTCAACAAAAGTTTTAGACTTAATTATAGAACCACCTTTACAATAAAGAACAAAACATCTCATGTTACCTTTCTGCAACACAAAGTATCTCCAGTACAAAATATCTCTAAAACATATATTAATAATTTTGATCAAAATTAAGAATGAGGACAAACTGAAGAAAATTGCCGGAAGATTGCAAATATTGCCACACCCTACAGAAGATGCACTTTATTTTCCTTAATGTGGCATCTTATTTGATGCCTTCTAAGATAATGCAATAGAATGATATAATTACTAAGATGTGGACAGATTCTACCTTCCATTCTAGAATGCATTTTATAGATAAAACAAAAGCTTAGTCTTATGCTGACAATTGATTGTGAACAGCATTTAGAACTGTTTTGATGTTCAACTTCCATTATTTCTGTAGATGAACAGGAGTAGAACAAAACAAAAAAAAAATATCTGAAACACTGAGACGATGTTTGGCATGAAGGTAGCACATATTCATAGAATTCTCTTAACATCATGAAAGTACAATTCTGGATCAGATGGCAAGGATCACAGAGTCACAGCTACTTTATTAAGCAGGGCATATCTGGGGGACTTAAGCATTTTTTCCTGGATGGCATCTAATAAACTGGTTTTGATTTTCAGTTCTAGCAAGGATATATCAAGAAAATGACCTTAAGTCAGAGTACTTGAAAAAACAAATACTAAAGGCAATTACTTTTTAATCTCAAAGATCTTATTAGTATTTGTCTGTTAACCCCTTTTCCCCTTTTTAGTGCAAAGGCTCCAAATTCATTCAATTTCTTGGGTCTTGTGAAATGTCAATGTAAGACACATATGTTCAGTGTCACTGAAATAATTGGAGTGTTTGAAATTCTGTACAAAATAGTGTTCAGTAGCACTCAAAAGCTGTTACTCTCAGCTAACATTTGCTATTTAACCAGCATTAAAGTTGAACTACTTCTCCTTATCTTGTCCACTAACATGACAAAATCCACATATATGGATCAAAAACCATTACTTTCTCTGTGAAGTTCAAAATAAACAGAACTCCTTGACAAGATGGAGTAGCTGAGATATGCACAGAGCCACAAATAAACCTCAGAAATGAAGCTAGAAAGCCTTCTTGGTGAAAATAAAAATAAAAACAAATAAAACTCTACAGCAAGTGGAGAAACAGGCACATAGCTCAAAAATAAAAAAAAAACTTTCCCCCATAAAAAAAGAAGAAGCCCCCCTGAAAACAGTCTTGCGTGTATGCACGATGTACCTCTATCTATTTTCCATCACTGCCTCATTCAATGTAGGTTTTGTCACTCCTCCACTACCCTAAATATTAATCCTGGCGACCTGCCATACACATGAGTCCTGAGATACCCACTTAAAAATTATGCATAGGACATACTTCTTGCAAGCAAAACATCTGAATACAGAAAAAGATCAAATTGCAATGGTAAAGTTCTGTGTTTGCTTTCCAAATCTTTCAAAAGTTGAATTACTGATCAATAAACAAAAAGCATTTAGAGTGTTAAATGAAGATATAATGATAACTGATGAAGCACCTTTGTTCAGATTCAGATTCACCATCTAAAGTGACAATTTCTATGAAAGGGCCGAGTCTTGGAAACACAAGTTATTAGAATATCAATTTATGAAATGTAAAGAAATGTGAGGAAGAACATAGTACAACAAAAAAAGCTGGAATAAATTGTCAACTAATTGTGGAGAATAAATTATAAGTTAAACGAACAAAATGATTGACTTTATTCACAGACTGAGAATTTTTATGGCTTCTTGCCAACATTGAGAGCATCCAGCACAAGTGTCTATAATCAGTCATCATTTTAATCACATGCGTTAACTGTAGTCATGTTGTGCGAACTGTGTCCACCATCTAGTAGAGAAACTTCATCATGCTCAGGGGAAGCCGAAATGTCTAACTGGAAAGAGAAATCTGGGCCCGGTATACATAATATAGACACAGCTCAGAACTTCTATCTTATGAGCCATAACCACAATTTAAAGGCTATCTGGTAGAAGATGTGATATAAAACACAAAGGAAACCCTGAGACTTGGCAGCAAAAGCTCCATGGAGTAGAAACCTCATGTCAGAGCTTGAACGCTATTTCCACAAACACTCGGCTGTTTTTCTCTCCTAAGGGAAAATTCTGGAGTCTGAGACAAATCTTGTTATCAATCTGGGTGTAGCCAGGAACGTGGAATGATGAACAGTCATTCCTGCTTCATCTCCTCCTTGCATGCTGAAGCACTGAACTGATTGTTTGTTCATTATTTAGGAAGAATCCTTCTTCAAAAAATAATCACAAACAGGAGCTGAAAGAAACACACAAAAAACATACATAACAGTTTTCAAAACGTGTGCACTGACTCACAAAATGTAGGAGTTTCCCTTAATACAACTGACAAAACTGAATGGACAATCCATAAAGCTTTAATGGCTGCCATTGGAAATGCTACTGAATTTATTTCCAATCCCTTTTTCTGGGCTTCTCATCTATCAGAGATCAGAAAAGGCTCTGCAATCATATCCTTACAAAGATTTTGGGTAATTTATATGGAAAGAAGCCCTAGTTGTTCACTACATGATATCTGGTGTGCTCCTAGTTAAGACAACAATATACCTGGAAATAGTGGATGTTTGAAAATATGAATAATACATTAAAACAAGCTCTTCACCTAATGTTGCTAAATGTTGCTAATACATGTTACTGAATTTGTGATATTATTTTTCAGTCTAATCAACTGGCATTCAATAATTTTATTCTTATGAAGAATACATACATACATACATACATACATACATACATACATACATACATACATATATATTCTATCTCCGGATTATAATATTCTTATCCCCATCTCCTTCAACAATGAGAACCTTAATAAAGATAGAAGCAAATCTGAAAATAGATGATGATTTACACTGCTTTCATAACATATTTCATTTAAATGCTTTTCTAACATACTTTCTAAAATCACATTAAGCTGGAAGACGTTTTATGGTTAATTGTCTCTAGTGGTAGAACCAAAAGTATTTAGCAGCAATTTATCAGAAGAGACCTTGTCCTGGGCTTTTCATGAGTTTTCCAGATTTGATGAAAGACATAATGCAAAACATCTCTTGAAATTTTATCTTCTCTTTTATTAAGACAAACAACATCTATTTTGAGTTGTATTCCTTAGCAAGATTAATTAAGCTAGAAAAGCCAGGTCTGAGCTCTCCCACCTTCTCCTGCCCATTTTTACTGATAACCAGCAGGAAAGAAATGAAGCCGTGGATTGAGATTTAAAATGTACTGCAAAAGGACTGGTTTTTTTTTTCTTTGCTGAACATTATGCACCTTAAGATCCTTATGCATTTAAGTTCTTCAATGGCATACGCATGCATTCAATATTGTTGATTTAATCTCTAAATAATGTCCTATTTCTGAGGCAAAAGATACTGGCAGTATTTAGGCTGGCAGTCTTTTGGCTGGTAGAGTATAGTCTTCCTTCTTTCTGACTCCCCTCAGATCCCCCTTGCTGAGTAATTTATGTTCCATGCTGGGCCCCACTTTTCTTTAGTGTACTTTTCTGTATTATGCTCTTGTCCATTTCATGAGTTTTGTCTTGGCTTCTCCTCAACTTTTACTACTCTTCAGCAGTAAAACAATGCCCAACCCAACTCAGGGTCTTCAGTCAATACTGCTCTTTATTAAAGCCAATACCCAATCTTCAACAGCAAACACTGCCTAGGCCTAATTTAAGGTTGCCAGCCATGACATTTTCATCAAATTTCCTTCTTCCCAAACTTTGTTTTTTTAAGACTTTACCTCTGCCAGCTTTCCCCTGCAGAAAGAATTTCCTATCAGAAACTAAGCTTCCTCCTACTCTCAGCTTCTCGATCATCCAACCAGAATATATTGCCTGGTTGGGTTTCCGTCTACCTATGTCAATCAGAATAGAGGTGGAAGGGACTCTGACCCAGTCCAGCCCCTGCCCAAGCAGGAGATCCTACACCATTTCAGACAAGTGTCTTCTTAAAAACCTCCAGTGAGGAACTTCTGAAGGCAAGCCATTTCACTGGTTAATTATCCTCACTGTTAGGAAGTTTCTCCTTAATTCCAAGTTGCTTCTCTCCTTGATTAGTTTCCATCCATTGTTTCTTGTTTTGCCTTCTGGTGCTTTGGAGAATAATTTGAACCCCTCTTCTTTGTGACAGCCCCTCAAATATTGGAATGCTGCTTTCATGTCCCCCCTAGTTCTTCTTTTCTCTAGACTAGCCAAACCCAAATCCTGCAACTGTTTTTCATGTTTTAGTCTCCTTTAATAATCTTAGTTGCTCTTCTTTGCACTTTTTCCAAAGTCTCAACATCTTTTTTGTAATGTGGTGACCAAAACTGGGTGCAGTATTCCAGGTGTGGCCTTACTAAGGATTTATAAAGCAGTACTAATACTTCACTTGATTTTGATTCTATGCCTCTGTTTATACAACCAAGGATTGTATTAGCTTTTTTGGCTGCTGCTGCTGCACACTGCTGACTCGTGTTTAAGTAATTGTTCACTGGGACTCCAAGGTTCCTCTCACAGTTACTGTTTTTGAGCCAGTTTTCGCCTAATCTGCACTTGTACCTTTGGTTTTTCTGCCCAGGTGTAAAACCTTGCTTTTCTCCACAGTAAATTTCATTTTGTTGGATAGGGCCCATTGTTCAAGTCTTTCAAGATATTTTTCAATCCTGAGCTTGTTTTCTGGGATGTTGGCTATTCCTGCCAGTTTAGTGTCATCTGCAAA